TCGCGCACCACAAGACAACACTAACGAAGCATCCGACAGCTATATTGGGAACACACACAAATAACCCTTTCTTTTCGAACCGCTTTCAGTCCCAGATAAACTACATTCGCAAAACGACTTAAGGAAACGTCGCTTCGCATCCGCTCATTATTGCGAATACTTTCTACAATCAGAGTGAGATTCAACGCAAACCTCAGCTAATACGTCGGCGAGAACTTATTAGATTGTGCTGTCTTTGTACACTTTTAAAACTGATATCTTTATTAGCCCAAATAAAATTTCAGTCTGTCAACGTCAATTTTTTTTTATCCATGTATTTTTTTTTATGTGAAAAGTTGCCAAGCGAGGTGGTTCACCTGATGTTAAGTGAATACCACCGCCCATGGACGTTTGCAGATGCGTTGACAAATTTTTGAAAATTGGGCTCCGGCTACCTCACTCACCAGACGAAACGAGTCACGAGTAAATGTCAAACAGTTGTCATCGATTGCCATGATATTACAAAGCAACCAACTCCACGGTGTTACCATTGCAACAAGTAAAAAAATGTCTAATCTCGAAAACTTCAAATATCATTGGACACATTTGGAGTTCGATTCGAGAACTTTAAAGACTAACCATAAATGCACTGAGTTACCATTAGTGTTTTTTCTATGTTACAAAATAGAAGTTATACACTTGAGTTTCAATTTATATCACATTCAACAGATCACCCCTAATTACCATACAAAAAATAACTAAACGTTTTTTCTCTACCTTTGTATGAGAGAAAATAAATAGTTAAAAGTCATTATCTTACTTTCTAAAGTTATACCGTTTTAGGGGCTCTTTTTCTTAATGAACCTTTACCCATCACTTCTCGGCCACATTTTAATTCGAGTACCTACTCTCTTTAAAACACAGTCGTCATGTGAGCGACATTTTTCTGTGCTTTTACTGCGCACAAAAAACGAACAATTGCGCGCATGCAGCTTACAAGATTATTTCTCAGTAGCCAACAATGCACGCTTGCAGTACTGAGCATGTGTTAACCTCATCGTGGGAACTCCCGGGCCGGGTTATATCTTGCACATTGTGTCGTTAATGGAGCGTACGGTCGCAAATTAAACTCTATCCACAGACAGATAAGGGTTTAAATATACGCGATTAAGCTATCATTCAGACCGTGTAGCGGTTGCGCTCGATTTTGGATACTGCCACGTTCAAATAGAAAACTTTATCGCTTGCTCGCACGTTGGCAAATAGGACAAATAATGTTTGTTTAATTGCGACAAGATGGGTCGCTATAGAATATTAACGCCACAAACCGAGATGATAGCGTAATTACGTACACCAGTAATTATTTTAACAATGCTCTGAAGTTATTACCTGTATTCCTAAAGCAAGTTGTGATAGTTGAAACTACCCGCTTACTTTCTTATTACTAAAATCACTTATTATAAAATATCATATTATATCAATCGATCTATCACGAATTTTGATCCCTAATAAAGTAGAACCGAGCTTATTCCGTCCCCAAAGTGACAAGTCATCAGTTTGTCGTCGGACACGCGGCACATATGGATACCCATATGTACCACCGACTCTAGCACCACAAGTCCTACGTACAAACTCTAAGCCATATACACAAAAACTCATACACATGCAAATTTAATACCTTCGGTTGCTTCTATTCAATATAATCTCCCATTCTTTCCGAATCACCGAAATTTAACGGTTAAAGCTTTGTTATCTTTATCAGTTACATCGCTTTCAGAAGCTATGCTAAGCTATAATAAACAAAACTGTGCATAAACCAACATCATTTCATTAATTTTGAACCCGAACTTCTGCGAATTAATAACGTCTGGTACACCCGGTACCTTTCGCATGTTTCCCGAAACTACACTCAACGTGCCCACGAGGCCGCAGATAAAGCGACCTTACAGCGGTTGAATCGCCGAATTTCCATATTTACGAGACTTGATAAGGGCAACGTCAGTAGGCGCTCATCGATAAGGTCCCCCTTTTAACTTCCTGCCGTACAGGAGTTCGGCAAACACGGGACAGGCGATGCGCAAACAACTTGCTGCTCACCTTGAACATGTCAAATAAGTGCGAAGTAAATCGTGGTGAATCTGCACTTAAAGCTATCATTAACATGCGATGAAAATTCCATCGGTGGGCGGATTTCAACTAGTTTCATTGTGACAGTGGCGTTTTCAAACTCTCTTGCGCCAGAGAATGTGGGTTCGTTCCCTGCAGGAAGATATGATAGTGTATTTCCAGCATCGGGATGTTTGATTATCTATAATATTGCCCGTTCCGCAGTTGCTAAGTCATTGGCCACAGTTGATCGGCTCCCGTAAGAGACAAGTATTAGTTTGACCCATAGACATGCGATATTGTTCCGGATGTAAGTTTGTTCTCAGGGAGGTTGGACCTCAGGCAGGCAGCCATAAATAATGTAGCAAATACCATTAGTAACTTGATCAACATGTTGTGACGAGCCCACCTAGGTGAGGTAAGAGCAGGAGTAAACAAACTCTGCCTACTTTTGGACTAGAACACGTGTAAATGAACACAACGTGTAAATGAATCTCCTAATCATGAACATTTAGTCATTTATTCATTTAAATAACAAAATATTTGCAATTTTCTAGAATTATCGCCGACGATTTGTTCCCACGTTGACGCGCTTAAAGGAAAATCGTGGAAATGACTCATTACTCTGACGGTGAAAGTGAAAACGTACATTACACATGACTTTTCGCGATGTAGCGGTTACTGCTAGAAACATAAAGGCTAATTGCGAAATGCCATACACGAATTTAGGACAATGCGGGACCTATCTGAATTACGCAAGTGTGAAACAGACATGGTTAGAATAATACACTTCAGACTGTAAATCAAAAGAGGCCTAAAATTTAAGGACCACAGATCGCAACCTTAAACTAATTTAGGGCTTAACTAAAACCAAAATCGGATTTCAGTATGTATTTTATGATCTTTAGATGAACTGTAAGACGTTAAAATGTACTAAATTGTAATGACACATGATTAACTCCACTGTAAAGTTGTATTTTAGACAATTAGCTCTATATATAACTTTAATAATTAAAATAATACTTTCAGCTGTAATCGAAATAGAAATAAGGTATGCTCTGTGTTGTAGGGCCATAACGCTGCTCCACGAATGAGCAGGCTCGTCCGAAAAGGCCCATAGCATCACAGAAGATTAGCCCGTTGTGCGTTCATACTTCTGCCTTAATGTCAGTCAGTAAGTTTACTGGATCTAGTATTTTAAAGATCACTAACGCATCTACTTTCCCGTGATTTGCTAACACCAGGTGAATCTCTCGTTTGCTTGTTTCCTTCTCATCAATAAAGTGTGTGCAGAAATTTTCGCTGAAATGTATATACTCATGTCAGATGCCGTGGCCAATTCAAGACACTCGAGTAACCCTAGTTAAATTTCCGGCGTCGGCACCTAAGAAATTGTTAATTTTAATTTTAAGTGCTCACTTAACTCAGCTAATAAAATGTGAGAGAACCCGCATAATTTCTGAATAATAAAAGAAAACATTTTGAAGAAATGTTAATTCTACCAATCGGCGGTGCATTTAGCTCTAATACGAGACTTTTATACAGGAGTGGAACTCATTTAGACTTATATATAGAAAGCAGCGTTAATTTTTATATTAGCTCTGTAATAATAGTTCATTAGCTCCTACACTTCACTGGCTCTCTACTTCATAATAGTGAAAACGAACGTACATCATTGTAATGGTTGCATTGGGCCTTATCTCAACATCGGCGGGACAAATTTGCGCTCTAATCGCACGATTATGTCTTAGAATAATTGCACCATTATACGGAGATGGAAAGATAAAAGGACGTAATGTTACCAAGATAGATGCATGCTAAGCTTGAATTAACTGTAACTTTTCGCTTTGATTGCACAAGTAATCAGGAGCCATTAACGAGCTTAGTTCTCGTGTTTTTAATGTGGGAGACAATACTCACTCATAAGGTCATCGAAATTTTTATTTTGCTGATGAATTAACTCGTAATATATCTTTGTTATAAACGAAAACGGTGATAAAATTTAAATTCAAAATCCTATGATACATTTTTCGATCAGAACGTAAATGATTCTTTCAAAAAAAAAAAAAAAAAATGATCCGACAGTCTCTGAGCTTCTATTGTGGATATAAATCTAAAAGATTCAAATAAAGTGCAAAAAAAGTTGTATGTTAAATGTTTAGTAAAGAAAAGTGTAAAAATTGTAGAAAAAATTTTTCAAAGTAACTCAAGGGAAAATAGCAGCCTCCGATGATAAGGTTAAAAAATTAAGTAAAAAAGATACGTGAAAAAGTTGACGTAACTTCCGTATGTAAAAACCGATATAGGGTTCGTTCATGAAAGTATAAAAGACAAGTATGTCCCGTAATACAAGTGTAAGCTTTTTTTATGTGAGAAGAAAACGAGTTAGGGTTTCACCCGATATTAAGTTATAACCGCCGCCCTAAATCTGCAACACCCGTGGGGTTACAGATGCGTTGCCACCGTTTAATAAAGTGGGCCCCGCCCGCCTCACTCACCAGAAACGCAGTGGCATGACACTCCGACCTTCACGCCGGTATCCTGTGAGGTCGTGGTACTAGCGCGGACCTGCCCAGTGCAAGAGGCTAAGCTGCTGCCACACATAAAAGTCCGCAAGTTGGTGTTATGCTCACCTCACCAGCAGAAACGGAGTGGTATGACACTTCCACTTGACGCCGGTGAGGTCGTGGTACTTACTAGAACGGACCTGCCCAATGCAACAGCCGAAGCTGTCTGATAAAAGTCTGCAAGTTGGTGTAGAAGACCGGCGTGTGGCAACGCATATGCAACCCTACTTGTATTGCAAATGTCCACGGGCGGCGGTTATCACTTAACGTCGGGTGAACCGCCAGCTCGTTTGTCACTTTATCACATTAAAAAGTGTTACGTTGGTGTTAAGTTGGTGTTACGCTCACCGTGCGTTGCGAGAGGTCCGCCACGGAGTCGTGGCGGTGCTCGAGGCTGCCGAGGCTGCAGCAGGAGGCGGAGGACGAGAGGCTCACGGAGTCGGCGCGCGCACGGTGCGGCGACACCGCCACGTGCTTCAGCATCCCCGCACCTGCGACACCATTGCTCTATTAACCGCGCTGACACTATCACACGACACTTCCTTATTTATCCCTCACTCAATATTATAAATGTGAACAGATTATCATGAAAGTACACATATTCTTAGAGGTCACAGGAATCCTATTTTCATTTTTTTTTTTGTTTAAAAAGATAATTGGAGGCGCGGACGAGAAGCTAGTACTTTGTATTTACTAAATATTATAAACGCGAAAGTTTGTATGTATGGATGTATGTTTGTCACTCTTTCACGCAAAAACTACTGAATGGATTTTAATAATACTTTACCAGTAATACTATACTAAAACATCAGAAAAACAAATAGGACATAATGTGTAAAGATATAAGTTTAAAATAAATATATCAAATGTTATTCTTGGTTGAGAACGAATTCTCTAAGGATGCTAATTAAAAGGAAAAGTCCACAAAAATCACTAAAACGACCATATTAAACGCTATATTTCACGCCAATCTCGAGGACGTCTCCCAATGGAGTCTTCATAGGAGCGGACCTCACAAATAGTTCACTCAAATTAAGCCGCTCTCTCGGACCGCACGTGCTCGTCCAACAGCTCGTAAAACGCTGTTTGTTTAGTAGCCGAAGTTCTTGGAAGGCGATACCTGGCTCCGATGTACAGCAGACCGACCTTAATGGTACGGGTTTGTATTTCAAAGTGAGTGATAATTCCTTATCCAATCCATCCATCGTTTATACATCGTTTATCCATCGTTTTACGGCCATCGCTAGTAGACTACCCTTAACTACTAGATCTTTTGGCGTGATAATTTGAAAACCCGTCCTAGTGTGAACGATGTATGGCCAGCAGGTTTCTGTTAGGATTCGACGTGTGTGTCTTCAACTTAGTTATCAAATCTTCAATGATCACCGTGAAACGTAAGGCGTAATGAAGTCTTTGTTGATCTATGTATCTAATGCTGAGCATCTGACAGTTATTATTATAGTGATTTATTTCATTTATACTTTTTTATATTACCTACCATTTATATTACCTACATGTCACTTTATTGTTGTTTCGAAAGTTAAAGAAATTAAGAAAAGAATATAACGAAACACAAAGATACCAAAATGCAGAGGAAAAAAACAATAAAAGCATACTTTTTTTAACCAGACCGTCATTTAATGCAATCATTTTAGTATTCATTGGCACGTCTTCATTATATAGGCATAAGCAAAACATTGTTCATTTTGCTTGAGAAAATTAATTATAATGTAAGGACATTACTTATACTCCAAAATATATGTATAAAATATGCAACTAATTTCCAAAATTTTGCCCAAGCAATAATAATTAAAACCCTCCTTTTATATCCTAGCTTGTTAAACAATAGCGATACTTATGACCTCGAAGTCTTCCCCATACAGATCAATGCCCTTTGCTCCTTCTTTTATTTTATAGTATTAAAAATAACAGGAATATAAAACTGAAACAGAGTCGGCGATTAACATACTTTAGAGAGCGATAAAATAAGCAAATTACAAGGCACGCCATTGCGGTTACCCGGCCGACGTTGTACTACAATGACGATAACAAATTACCATTGTAATCGTGTATCATCAATCAGTATCACCGCTGTCGTACAGAGCTTCATGTCGAATGTAGCTCATTGCATACGATTAGTTATGGGTTACACCAATTTCTAACATGCATTGACTTAATTACCATATTACGAATCATCCTCAGAGATCCTCTAATTGATTAGAAAACATGTTGGTAAAAATCAATCAATTACGATTTAAATAAGAATTTACGAGCACAAATCAAACAGAGCTAGCCAGGGTCTCGCGGTCTAATACTTACTATGTCAATAGAATGATCTTCTTTACATAACGCATATTGGTGATCAATACATGATATCATGGACTAGGTAATCAGCTGCGAGATCATGATATTTGAAAAGAAATTTCTTGTATAAAACAATATCAAACGATTGATCAGAAGTCTATTTTTTTATTAACGAAAAACCGACCAAACCGATTTCTATCTATTTGGTATCTACGGTACCCAGGACCCAATACCAATGAAATTAATGTGGGACCACATGGGAAGCAGAAGCTTTCAAATAAAAAAAAAACAGAATCATCAAAATCGATTCACTCAGTCGAAATTTCTGAGGTAACAAACATAATAAAGTTGGTTGCAAATTGCTTAACATTGTCGGGATTTACATTCCCATCATAAACAACCAATCTCATATTAACTTTAAATTGACGCACGAAGCCGTGATAGCTCAGTGTCCGGGCGCTCGCCTTTAATACAATATACTCGAGCAACCTGAGTTCGATCCCCGGTGCCGGCACCAATGAAGTTTTTAACTTTAAGTGCTGACTTATCACGTGCTCCGCGGTGAAGGAAACCTGCATATTTTCCTAAATATATTTCGAAGATATGTGAAGTCCGCCAATACGCAGTGGGGCCGCGTGGTGGACTATGCCCTGATACCCTCTGTATAGAGGAGGCCTTTGCCCAGCAGTGGGACATGTATAGGCTGTTACTCTACTTTACTTTACTGACGCACATTGACACCGCGGCTGTTTCTGACACCTTTAGAATTCCGCGAAGGGTTTTGCAACTCAAATAGAGCCCAGAAAGACCAGGTTGCTTCACATAGCATGGGGACACCGTGACCGGATCAATAAAATGCATCCGCCAGTCAAGCAAAGCGATGTTACCAGCTCGTGTTCAACGTTTAATTGCCAACCGAAGAATCTGAGTCTACGGCACAGTTTTAAGTATCGACTTAACTGGCAATGGGCTGGTCACATTTTACACAAGAGAGTAGAGCAGACCTTTTTTATGTGGTTGTAAATGTTGTATTTTTCTTATATTGGTATCATTCATTAACACTCCAAATATTAAACTAATCGATAATTTAATCTCTGCATGAACCTTACATCAAAATGTTTCAAGCCACAAAATCTGCTATGTATTTTTTTGTTTACATCTTTATATAATTATGACTAATCAATTAAATGATATTATATTTCCGCACTTAAGCCCAGTGTTACAGGTATAAACCAATAAATAAAATTCGCAACAATCTTGAGGTTGCTAAATAATTTTATAACTAGTTTACCTAATCTAACGAAACTAGTTACGGCTGCGAATTCACACGTTAGGTACGTGAGTACACAAAATTACCAAGAGTTCTCGATATGATTGAAAAACTTTTTTATTACTTGTGAAGTAATGTGTTGAAAATTCGGTACTAAAACTCTAAAAATAGTATTGAACTAAAGTAACGTCCCATTTTTCCCCAAAATAAAAGTTGCAACGTACCTACTGCCGATCTTACTAAAGTCTGAACTGAAAATTAGATCTTATTTTTGCGAAAATTTCGATACAACGGGTAGAGTAAGAAAAAGAGAAATTTTATAGATTTATTTCAAATATTTCACACAATTTATTTCCTTAACTTTATAGTCAAACGGATTTTTTTTTAATTTACTTAAACTTTTAGTTTAATGAACTCACCCTGATTACAAGTGGATTTATTTCAGAAAAAGTGTTTCGCAAGACCTAATAAAGAGATATTCAGGAAACCTGTCTGAATGTATAGGTAAATAAATAACCTAGACCATATACACCGTCTGGGTATCGAACCCAAAACTAGACTATGGCCCAGTGCTCTTACCGCTGACCGATTTAATCATACATTTATTTTTATAGATTTGCGTCCTGAGAGTAACCATACTCCAGTTTCGCAATTGCATTTCGCCGCGAGTATCTAGGCGGATGTCAGATATTGCTTACCTCTTGCCCTGTGCAAAAGTATTCTCCATGGAGTCGATTTCATCATCAATTTTGACGTTCATCATCAATTAACCAGGGCACAATGTAATCGGTAACATTTTGCTGGCGAAATGACTGTTAACCAAGACGTAACTCGCCTGGTATTCCTGTTAGTAGATCATTTGCGGACATCCATACAAATTAGATAGACACAGTGTGATAGATAAAAAGTTTCGTTTATCAACAATTTCCCGGCTCCTAAAATATTTCTGTGATAAAATTATAACAAACTGTTATTTCGTTACGGAACATACGGACGAACGCACGATTGCTCGAGATTATCTTAACTGTGCCTTTATTTATTTTAGTATTTTTTTACATAAACGTGTAATACAAAATGTCAATAAAAACCAACACTGTCTCAAGCTTCTTAGTAATACTTGGGCGTACAAAAACTTCAGATCCTAAACAACAAAAAGCCAAATAAGAAGTAATCATCACAGAATTCTTAGTACTTAAAGTCCGTGGCGCAGTCGCCATGGTATTGGCTTCGGCGTCGGGGGTCGTGGGTTCGATTCCCACACGCGCCAACTATTTGTGTGACCCACAGATAGTTGTTTCGCATCTGTATTTGTCCCCGTGCAATTTATGTTTGTAAAACGTCCTTACAACACGGGATAATGTTATCCTAAAGTGAGGGCAATGTTTTAAAAAAAAATTTAAAAACATCGCATCTGGGTCCACGTGAAATTTATATATGTAAAACATCCTTGCAATACAGGATAATGTTATTAGGATCATAAGGGATAGTAAGAGCAATGTTTTATTTGGAAAAATAAATAAAAAGAAGTACCGACGACAGACTCCGATTAAATTTTCAAATAACGGTAACTGCGGGGAATCCAGAACCGGTACAGACAACGCTTCGCGGGGAATCTTAATAGCTGGACCAGGAGTCGATGCCTAAGAAGGCATCGGTGAAAGACGCTCATCTAAACCGGAGGATGTTCATTTCCTTGCGCGTCTTCTTACGTTAATGACCATAATACTTATCTTGGAAATAAATGTTGTTTACGATATTCACGCAATTTTCACTGCGACTGAGCCATTTCTGTAGTAGAATAGAAAGACATTACATTTTTTCGTTTTTAACTCCCGATCTATGTATATAAAGTGCTCATTAATTTTATATCGATTTATATATTTCAACGGTGTTACATTAACAAGCTTTA